GGAATAAGCAAGTTTGCGATTGTCCCACCTCAAATCTGTACTATGAAGGAGGAAAAGCCCATTGGCTTGAAATCTGACCAATAGTTTGGGGTCCGTATTCATTCTTTGTACTCATTCCACCGTTCTGCCAGTATCAATCTACTAAGGGATTCTTCGAAACTCAGCTTCCCTCCATAGCCTTCATTGCTTTATTCTCGTCATGGAGACCAGGCGAAAAACAAGCTTGGCGGCCCATGCTAGAGCCAACTTGCACTGATCGCTAGGGCGACGAGTTAACAATAATTTGACATGGTTTCAGGGAGAACTGAAGATCGCAAGACCCAAAATGAGAGTTCAGAAAGCTTAATTGTAATCCTCCTTTCAATTGGAATGCAGTCAGGTAATTGTGATTAAAAGCCATAAATGAAAGGTCCGATTTGGATCTGTGGCATGACTAAAACGACGGAGCCTGCTACTGAGAGTTGTTTTTAGATTTGACTTGGTCTGTGGTAATAAGGACAGATTAGGTCTAGGATGGTGATAGCAATTATTAGAGATTCTACTTTGATGTTGATAGAGATTAGGGCTAGGATTGGGATTTCCGTGGCAATTATAAAGATAATAATGCTTGTAACGTTTGTGATGATAATCATGGTGATACAAGTAGTGGATGATGCTTATGCTTATTATCATGGTAATGCTAATTATCAAAGTCATGAGTAAACTTATTATAATAATGAGTATGATGAGATGATCTGATTGTGCCTGAGCTTAGTTTGGACTCAAACATTTCATATAGTAGTCTCAAATGCATACTTATAAATAAACCTACAATTTCAATGTATTATGTGCATTGCATACAAAGAATAAATATTCGAAAACAAAAAACATGAGTCAGAATTAGGTTATAAGTGTATTTGGTTACTCTCCTTGATTTAGTATATTGGGAAATTTTCATAGTTTTAGTTTCTTGTTTTAAAGATGTCTGTCATATCGGTGCTGACTCAGGTTCATCATGAATAGATAGAGGGTGCAGGATGGTTTACCGAGGAGCTATTCACACAAATTATATTTCAGTTTCCTATAAGGCTAATTTATATTTATTTTACGTTTAATGCTTCAGCAGACATTGTTCTTACGATATAAAATCATCAAGGAGTCCTTTAAAACTCTGCTCGTATTATGCCTTTGCTATGGATTCAGAGGAAAAGGATGATGCTAAGGCTGATGACACTTGTGAGCCTAATAATATTGGTGACAACGATGATTGTGCTAGCAATAGTGGGGATAAGAATTTAAAAGTCGGCGGTCAAGATGATAATGAACAATTTGATGGTAGTGCTGGTGATCATGGATTTGAAGAGTACACCGAAATTAACAAATTCTCAGTAATACTTCTGCTATATCATTTTTAGTTGATTTTTGCTATGGAGATGGTGTACGAAGAAGAAATTCTTAGACCAAAAAAGTTGATCAAGTCAGCTTCACTGAAATCTCTCATCGAGTTTGAATGTTGTCGAGCGATTGGTACGAAAATCGACATGTTCTATACTCGGGCTTCAATAAGAGTTGCGATTTGGACCCTAGAGCTGAGGCCTGATGTTGAGATTTTGAATAGACATGTCTGTGTTTCCAACGCAATAATTTGTCCAGTCCGCAGTAATCACGGTAGCAACTATAAATGTAAACCATTAACTGACAAATAGAGATGACGAAGTGGAATGGAGGAGGTAGAAGTCAGCAGATTGCACAGGGACAGAACTGGATTTGTAGACCTGTCGTCTCGAGGACTGGATCCTTTGAAGAGGATGTCCGTCAGTTTGGTGCCTCTTCAAGCCGCTCTAGCCAGACTTCTATCCTAGGCGTAGAGGCAGAAATGACCACCGAATCAGATTGCGGATGAATGCTGGTGCCAAGATCTTCTTCTTTCTTCTCATTATCAAACCTCGTTGTTGAGGACACTTCCATTTCGTGTGAAAGTATGTATGACGAAGAGATTTAACTGTAGATTCTGCCTGAATACAGTGAAAACATGCTAAGCTTCACGATTCAATACAACTCGCTAGCTTGAATATTGTTGTCAGAATGAAGCTTGATTCTGAACATGTCCGTCATTTGAAGTCGACCAGAATGGTTCATTAGAAAAAAAGGAAAGCTGGCCAAGAACAATCCACCATTGTCTTCTGATGGGATCAACCTTTAAATCTTTGCATCAAACACACACGCACACGCACACAGACTTAAAGTGGACGTGAGCTCGATCATGGTAAAACAAGAGAATTCTTTAAACTAGGTCCTAACAGTCTATCTACGCAACACACTCAATCCTATATTCGATCTCCATGATGAGATTAACAGGAATTATTTTATACATATTAAAATTATAGTAAGCCTATTTAGTTTAACGTGATGAAGGATGGCAGTTGTTTCATTCAAGGTAGAATAGATGGTCATGGAAAATTCATAAGAAAGTAGGGTTTCGAGACTACCAGTAAATCAGTGTAATGAGATGTATTCACCCTATTTCGT